TTGTGATTTTGGCGGATTGTGAAGGAGATGAGCTCCAAAAAGAGAGTAACTGACTTTCAGCTGCTGAGAGCAGAAGAGCTAGAGCAACTAACTGAAAAAGAAAAGAAATATATTCCCACTTCTAGGAATAGATCCAAAGGTGCTCAAAACACTAATTCGAAAGAACATAAGCACCTCTATGTTCATTGCAGTGTTATTTACAATCACCAAGATATGGAAGCAGCCCAAATGTCCATCAATAGATGAGTGGATAAAAGAACTATGGTTCATATACACAATGGAATACTATTCGGCTGTAAAATAGAAGAAAAAATTTACCCTTTGCGACAGCGTGGATGAACCTGGAGAACATTATGCTAGTGAAATAAGCCAGGTGGTGAAAGACAAATACCACATGATTTCACTCTTATGTGGAATCTAATGAATGAACTGAACTAACAAGCCAAACAGAGACAGACTCGCAGGTAGAGAGCAGGATGACAGCTATGCGGGGCATGGTTAGGGGGTGGAGGGATAGAACAAAAAGGAAAAAGGGCTCATGGACATGGACAAGAGTGTGGCGACTGCGGGCAGAAGGGGTATGAGAGGGGTAAATGGTAATGGAGAAAAATAAAAGTTAAAAAAAGGAAAAATGAAATTGAGATGTGACCATATTTATAGTCAACCTAATAATGTGGTTAAGATTTTCTAAAAATGAGAAAGGCATGTCCCAGCTACATCCTACAGCAATAAAGCAGGTGACTGGTGCGTTGCAAATGATAGGAAGAGGGAGGAGCCTGAGAGAAAGTGGCCTGGGCTGCAAGGGGGGCATCAGGTGGGCGAGACTGCAGGATGAGGAACAGTCTCAGGACAGCAGGAAGGGACACGGAAGCAGGCTGATATCAGGGAAGTGACTCTGTCGATGAAGGGCCCTTGCTGGCCATCAGCTAGTCCCCATCTTCCACTTCAAAAGTTGTAAAGATTCTTAGCACAGACTTGAACGGGCACACAGAGATTTAATTTTTCTATAAGGCAAATTATCCTCACACAGATTATCTAGAAATGTTGTGAAATCACATTCAATGAAGAAAAATTAACAATACTAAGACCGATTCTCACTGGTCGTCAGAAAAGGTTTATGCAGGCCTGTGGTATCAGCCTTAGTCACAGAAATATTTATGAGAATAAAATTATACACGGAATCTCAATATTTAAACTAGAGAAAGATGAGCAGTTTGGAGGGAATCAACAGCAAGATCCACTGAGCCATAAATACCAAGGCCTTCCATTGCGCCCCCCACCCCTGCTATGGAGGCCCTAAGGGGCTTCCTGGGAATCCCCAGGGTTTTGTAACATACAGCTTAAAAGCTAGTAGGGTAGGAGATGCAGTGTGGCAAAACAGACCCTAAGTCTAAGTCCCTTCTTTCTCACAAGTCTTTACTTCTAACACAGGTTTTCCTGCACCAGAGACGGTTCCTGTCCTCAGCCGCTGTCTCTGACCCAACTAGACTAATGGGTCACAAGTCTCCTGTGGGCCCCTCTCTGGCCATTTGCTCATGTCCCTATGAGCAATCCCATGAGGGTTAGCTAATGCCCAGCGTTCCAGGGCTCAGCCATATCTTGGCATTGTCTCCCAGTCTGAGAAACACCCTTCAGCGGTGGGCAACTTGAAGTGCTGCCGCTCCCGCACATTTACACCTCCTGCAGCCAAGCATCTTGAACTCCTCCCAAAGCACCCTCAGAGAGGGATGCCTCTGTGGCGTCCCGCTGTGCCAAGTGCCAGAGATGCCATCCCAAGGATGACTATGGAGAGCCAGACTCTGCCCGTGGAGTAACCAGAGACTAAGAGACAGACGCCAGCTTAGACCCCAGTGACAAAGCCCAGATGAATGTTCAGTAACTCCACACTCACTATAGCTTGTTCACCATTGGCTCTCCCAAGCCCTGATTTAGTGTAAACTCATGCTCAGCGAATGCTTGCTGGCTGAATAAAAGAATCACCAAGTCGGAGACGAGCCTTTCTCTGGCCTGTCATTAATGTGTGACTTGGGACAAGTCACATCTCTTTGGACTTCAATTGTCCACTTAAAAAATTAGAGAGTGGGATCATATAAGTTGTTGTATGGTACTGAGAGTTCCTCAAGAAATGAAATATTGCCCACTAAAAATTGTATATTTAAATTCCTAGGAATCCACTCATTTTTGTTATTTGGGTATAAATTCAATTGTTCATAATTTTTTTTTTTGAAATTTTATTTCCTGAACTATTCTTAGCCTATTCCAAAGGGATGATAAAGTCAAAATGAAGAAAGTGACATCAATTGCCACTTAGTTCCACCTCCAGGTAAAATTGCGACAGAGACCAAGGTGGGTCCCCCTGTCCTCTGCAGATCTCTTATTCTGACACTACCACCCTTAAACACGGTATTGCACTGGGCCAGAAAACAGCTGGAACACAATCCTGGCACAGGCCTCCACACCAGGTCTGGTCTTCGCCTTATCCCCCTTAGAACCTATTATGTCAACTGATCTGTTGGATTAACCAAGCCATGCTCATGTCTTAGGGTCATAGGGCTGGTGTCCAAAGCCCAGAGCAGCAGAGTGGTTTGCCCAAGGCCAGGATCTAAATCCAGGTGTCCCAGTTCTCAGCCAGGGTTCATTCCACTAATGAGTACTTCATACCCTGGACTGTACGTGAAGATCTCCCAGAGGGCTTGGTAAAGTACTGTACTCGGGCTCTGTGCCCACAGTCAGATTTAATTCTTCTGGAGCCAGGTCCAGGCATCACTCATTTTTAAAAGGATGTTTATCAATGTATAACATATATACAGAAAAGTGAATAAGTTATAAATGTATATGTTAATGAATTTTCACAAATAGCCATGTGCATAGACAAAGAAACAGAAGGTCCCTAGCACCCAAAACTCCCACCAGGATAATTGCTATCATGATTTCCAAAGAATACATTACTTTATGCAAGTGAAATATACAGAATGTTCTCTTTTTATGCTTGACTTCTTTTGCTCAGAATTACGTTTATAAGATTCACCCATATTGTTTGCTCTGGTTATAGTTTGTTCACTCTCATTGCAGTATATTGTTTTATGGTGTAAGTACAACACAATTTGTGATCCATTGTGGTGCTGATGTGTCCATTGCATCAACACATTACATGTGAGTAGTTTCTAGTTTGGGGGTATTATAAATAGTGTACACTTGAGCATGTATCTCTTGATGGACATATGTATACATTTTTTGAGTGTATACTTAGGAAAGGAATTGCTGTGTCATTGGGTATGCCTATATTAAGTTTTAGTAGATACTGTGAAACAATTATCTAAAGTGATTGCATTAATTTATACCCCTAACCTGAATTCTGTGAGAATTTCAGTTATTTCCACATCTTCATCCACACTAGGTATCATCAGTTTTATTGTGTTGCCATTCTGGTGAGTATGTGAAGGAATTACATTGTTTTAAGTTCCCCTGATGATTCTAATGGGCTACAAAGGACCAGGGCCTCTACTTTATCCCTGAACTCATGATCACTTGGGGTTTATGAAAGCAATGTTCTTGCTTTTATAACTCAGTGCCTCTATGATATTCTACAAGCCACCCCAAAGTGTTAGGCCACTAAAATCAACATTTTTTAGAAAAACTTTTCCTAATGTATACCAAAAAATAAATTGGTGGATAAAATTTTGCTTAATTTTAAGGTCTCCAGTACATTTTTCTTCTATTTTTAGCACCCACTGCAGCTTTCCACTAGTGAATGCTAGCAGTCAACAAAATAAACAAATAGGAGATGAAACAATAACCTCTTCCATGGAATTCTGGAATATGCAATCTGCTTCTGTAAGTTGTTTTGGTAACCACAGGCATTCCTGCTAAGCATACAAGCTTCTCTGTGCTAAAGGTATCCTTAGGGTCCCTCGTCTTCCTCTTGGGAATTTCACCGTCCTCACAGCTAGGAAAGGGCAGCCCTAAGTACCACGTGATCCTCTCCCAACTATAATTGATTGGATCCAGAGTCAAAACCTGACACAGTTGGGGCCAGTGAGTTCCTCTCTCTTTCACAAATTGGGAATTAAGATTTAGAGGCTGAGTCATTTATTTGGAGCCATACAGCTAGGTGAAATTGGAACCAAAATTGACACCAAGTTACTTGAAAGCCACATAAAAGCTGGTATGACATTAGTATGAGCAGAGCTTAGGAATATACCTACAATAGATCTTAAGAGGAAGATTGAATAGTGATTATACAAAATAATTTCAATCTCAAAATCCAAATTATTTTAGTCCCCTGGCAGAACTAAGGAAGATGGATGTAAGCTACTTCTTATAATTAAATCAAAAAGGCACAGAATCTGAAAGAGAGGACCAGACTCAGGAAAAAACTCTTTCCTGAGTACATTAAGAACAGTAATCCTGAAGAGGTCCACTTTAGTAAGGGAGAGAAATGGAAATTAATAGTTCAGACACCACCGATAGTAATTTAACATACATTAAAGATCCTTGATTAAGGTATTTGATACCACTGGGTATTACATATCATGATTTTGACATTTGTGTTGTCGTTATGGTCTACTTTATGGAATGTGAGGTGATTCATAAGTTTTCATCAGCTTATCTACAATCCCTGCCATTTAGTATCATTTTTCTCATATTGTTTTAAATCCTTCAAATATAAATTCTCCAATCATGTGGCTATTTGGTACTATACCTCCAAAGTTGGAGGTATTGGATTAACAGAAAAGTTATGACAAAAATCAGCAATGGTCCATTTAACAGCTTATTGGTTTACTCTTGGTAAGTGTCTGTATCAGTCAGGATAGGCTAGGTTTTGCTATAACAAAACTCCAAAATATTAATGGCTTACACAAGCAAAGATGTATTGTTTTGTTCACACTGCATTTGATGCAGGTTGCAGAAGAGCTCTGTTTTCATAGCGACGCCAGAGCTCCAGCAGACAGAGGCTCCATCTCAAACTGGACTTCCACAAAGACTGCAGCACTGGGCGGAGGGGGGGAATCATATGCTGATTTTAAAAGCTTTCCACGCACGTGTCTTTAACTAAACCCTGTTATGTGGCCACACTTATGACAAGCAATGGCGAAGTACAAGTTTATTGTGTACCTGGAAGAGCCAGAATATGTGTGACTAATCTTAACAATGAATGCAGTGTGTGTGTGCTTATAATACAGCTAGCTTTCCCGCTGGTAACATTGCTTCTTATTTGTATGATGGAATTAGTTCACGGTGTTCCACAGGTGCACTGGCACCTGAGTTCATTTGAAAACTGCTAGCCTACACTGTGGTGGGAATTCCAGTTAGATGGGAAGCTACTGCGGGGCTGGCTGAAGCTTACACGTATCTCACCACACAGGTACCCTTGTCCACCATGCCTTAGGCCAGTCCACTTCCCAGCCCATGGTGTAAATGGGATATTGTAAATCTGGGCCCCGTTAGGGTTTTGGTGAGGTTGGAACTTAAGAAATGGAGCAGAATAAAGGGTCCGCTCTGAGGAAAAAGAATCTAGCCTGGCATTTTGAGTCGTATTGACCTAACACTGTGCCACCACACCTGGGGGGCGGGGGTGAGGGGTGAGGGCGATATTACACCTCACAGCAAACAACAGTCCCAGAAAAAATCTTCACATGGAATCTTCAGAGCTCCGGAGAACGTGACTTGAAAATGTCAGGATTATGCAACCTCAAAGGTCCTTTCCGGTGGTAGCTCGAATGCCAGCACACATTACACCTAATCCCAAATCTAAAGAAACAGCCAGGGCACAACCCTTCTTCCCTGATCTCATGCTTGGCCCAGCCTGGCCCTGGCCCCTTCACTCCTCCCACACCAAGCAGTCCTCTCTCGCCCATTCCTCGTGGCCTGAAAACCGTATTGCAGTCCTAAAGCTCTGTCCCCCAAACTGCCAACAATGCTGACATCCTTTGCCCCCATGTGTGAGGTGGCAAGCGATGCCTGTGATTTAGAAATCCCACAAGCCCAAGGCCTTCTGTTTCTGTGCCCAGCCTCCATTTCCACTTCTTTCTTCATCAAGTGCAGCTTTTTTGTCGTCCAACTGTCATAAGGGTTAGTGAATTGCTGTGTAAAGAGGCACTTGTCCCATCTGAAAACCCCTTGGTAATTCTCCAGGTGAATAATGAGGACTCTGGGGGACACTGGGAATGCCTCTGGAATGTTAAACAGAGAGGCTTTCATTCTGGCTGGCTTGCTGCTGCTGCTTCCGCTCAATGAAGGGGCTGATTGTGCTGTCGTTGGGTGTGTCTGGGACATCACTTGCCAACACGGCCCAGGGCCCTCACTTGGCCTGTTGAGTTGGTCTCATGTCTGGGACAAGACCTTTATTTTAAGACTCTCATAACAATCAGAAACACCCTTTTCACTCACTGGCATTTAAAATGCAATAAGCCCTCTCTTTATCTAGGTCATTTGCTTTTTCTCTGAGCCATTCTCTAGCTGCTTTCTATTTACTCAAAGAGCTGTCTGGATCCATAGCTTTCATCAGGGAATTTGCTAGAAATGCAGAACCTCAGGTCCCTCTGCAGACCTACTAGATCAGAACCCACATTTTAACAAGGTCCCCAGGTCATTATTCTACAAAACTGTAAAAGTTTGAGTGATTGGTCAATGGTGAGAATCCAGCTGTTTCGGAAAAGCACGTGGACAGAGGCGGCGCTGGTCCAGGGTCAGGAGAACTGGCTTCCGGTTCTGACTTGGCCACTAACTCATGCAGTGACTTTGGCCAAGTCACTTAACCCGTCTGTAATCTTGAATGAGCTGCAGTCTTGACTCTCCAAGGTCCTGCTCTGAGGACAGAAAACAGAAAGATAAGTTCTCTCCCGTGTGCTGGTGATGTGGTTTTATTGCCAAACACCTAAGTAATTAGGTCCCCAAGATCTAATTACTACCAAAAAGAAGAGCTCCAGAGCAGCTGCCATAGTCATTTTCTTTTGTTAACTGTTCCTCCACACTTAATTGTTTTATCACATGCAAGTCTCTCTACGGCAACAGACTTCATTTGGTTACCTGAGGGTACCTCTGGTCACCTCTTGGCAGTTGAGCTCTCTTAGCTTCAAAATATGAATGATCATGTGTGTCCTGCCCGTCATACAGGGCCGTCAGGAGGATGTGCTGCGAAAGCATCTTGAAAAGTCTGAGGTGCTGCCACACACACCGTAAACTGACAGAGCTTTTTAGGAAAGGCATTTGGTCATACGAAATGTTAGAACCTTTAAACTATAAAAACCCTGCCCATCCCATCAGCCTCCAGGTGTAGACCCTGGGAAAAAAATCATGGGTGAGTGAGAAGGCTATTCATCACCATAGAATTGTTAGTGTTAGTGAAAATTTGTAAATAACTTAAATGTTCAACCACAGGCCACTGGGTAAATAATAAACAAACTGTAACAGAATAAACAAGAATAATAAAAATAAATAAATAATAAATAAATAAAACATTTCCCCTGGGAAAAGAAAAAAAAAATAATTTTTGTTCCAGAAAATAGTTTTAACAAATATGTTTTAACTCTTTTTAACAAATATATGTCATTATGTTCACATATAGTCGTTTTTTAAATTAATAAACATTTAAAAAAATAATAATAATAAAACAGTAATAATAAATAGTAAATGGTGGTACCCTCCCCATAACAGAATCCCATGAATCATGACACAAACGATGCTGAAGATAAGTATTGAAAGACGTGGATGGGTGTCGGTGATTTCTCACTGATTAATGAAAATATGCAGAGTATAGTGTAAAGTATGATTCCATTGCATTTAAAAATGAAGTGTATACACATGCATAGGAAAAAGACTGAAAGCATGTGCATTGCGACTGCTGGTGCACTCTGATTATGGGTAGTTTTATGTTCTTCATCGTGCTTATCTGCATTTCCATAGTACAGACATAATTTTAATACGGAAAAGTATTTTTTAAGAAAGAAAGGCATAGCATTCCTTACAAATTTGAAGCACTGATTTTATCATCCTTGTACTCATTTGTGGAGAAAGCCCCCTATGAGCGGGGGAGAGGGGACTCGAAGGACAGGGTCCCATGCTGGCCACATTGCTATCTTCGCACCCACCACGTGAGCAGACTTTACATGATGCCCATGCAGCATATGCAGGGGCTAAGGGGCGCTGTCTCGTACATTCGGGGGCTCGGAGGGCAGGGGAAGCTAGGGAGGAAATTGTAAGTTCCTCCTGGAGGACAGAAACAGGAGCTCGCAGCCCTGCAAACAGAAAGGTAGCAGAGGGCGGCACGCCTCCTACGGGCCATCCCATCCAGGGTATTACTGTGAAGCCACGTCTGGAGCGGGAGCAGGCAGGCGGCGCTTCTCCTGCCTCCTTGGGCCCAAAGCGGTGATGAGGGCAGTTCACCTGCCCAGCGGTCCTTCTAAAACCCAAAGGAAGGTGATTTTCAAAAGGGAAAAGAAATTTGATTCCAGGAGTCTTCCCTCCCAGTTCATTGAAAGGTAGGTTTGTCTTCATTTAAAATACCTTTATCTGGAATGAAAGAGAACTATCAGTGAAGGGGAACCTGCTTTACCGTTTCTCTTACAAATAATGGTGGTGGTGGTGGTGGTGGTAATAATAGAAGTAGTAGTGATGGTGGTAATAGGAGTGATGTTAATAGTAGTGGTAGTAGAGGTGGTAACAGTAGTAATAACGTGTGCCAGGTATTTTGCTTGTATGATTTTATTTAAATCTTCATAACTTAACTACCCTTTGAGATTTGTAGTATTATATAGGAAGAAACCAGAACTCAGAGAAACACAGAGCACTGGCCCACAGTCACATGGTAAGGGCTGAAAGCTGGATTCCAACTAGGTTTGCAAACTCCAAAATCCCTTCCTTCTACTATACCACACTATAAAATTAAGATGCTACTAGTCCCAGTTACATTGATCAAAAACTTGATGGTTATAGGCTAATTCAACCCTTGTTTTGCATTTATTCATGGCCTGACTTATCTACAAGAATCCAATTGCACTCAACAAACTCAGAATGCTTTAAAAAACATTCAATATTTTCTATGTCAATAGTTAATGTGCCTCTTAAAATATTTTTTTTCCCCACTAAAGAACCACTTCACTTTCCAGTAGATATTATTCTTCAGCCTGGATAATGTGTCAGCCGCATTCCCTGATTTGGCCATCACCAAGTGGGAGCCGTTCCCTGATCTCTCCTCTACTAGCTCACTATTTGCTGATGAGCAGAATTTGATATAAGACTATTCCACTCTGACTCTAGCCAAGACTGTTTGATTTGAAAGGATGAAAAGAACATTTTTTTCAGCTTTTATAGAGTGATTTGATATCTTCTTTTTCCCAGTAATGAAACTGTGAGTTGAAGGACATTGTATAGCACAGATATTTCTGCAGCAGTCTAGGTATTATGAACCTTGTCCAGAGAACTCCCACATCTGCTGATCCAGACATGTGGGGATTGCCTGAGGATCAGAAGAGAGGTATCCCCCAGAGGCTAACGCTTTTATGGAGAAGCTCTAAGTATCTAAAAAGATACTTATTAATCCAGCTTATTCATTTGTCAAGTGTCTTCTGTGTTCCAGGCATGGTACTTAGCACCAATGATTCAATTGGAAGCATATTAGACAGAGTAGCTGCACCTACAAAGCTTAGGGAGAAGCAGGAAATGCATCAGGAATGCTCTCAGCTGCAAGTAACAGAAAATCCAGCAAGCAGTAACTTTTTAGAAAGTAGAGTTATTTTTCTCCAAAATAAAAAGTCTATGGGTAGACAGTCTATAGCTGTTGCAGCAGTTTAACAATGTCATCAAAGTCTCTGTGTGTTTCTTTCTTTCCACTCCAAATCTTGAGCATGGCGCCTTTTCAATTTTGTTTACCTTGTGTTTCAAGATGGCAACCACAGTTCTAAATATTGTATCTGTGTTTAAGACAAAAAGGGAAGGTAGGGTGGTGCCAGCAATATCTGATTATTTCATTCAGAATATAAAGGCTTTCCAAGAAGTCTCTCAGCTGACTTTTGCTTAGATGGCACTGTCCAGAATGGCGATGTGAACCAGCCCTTGCTGTAAGGGACATTGGAAATGTAAGTATCCGGTGAATGACAGTGAATGACTTGACTGATCATGACTCAGCCTCTGTGGCTAGGGCACCTAAACAAAACCTAAACAAAACCTTCATCCTAAACAAAATCAGGGTAATCAGAAGAGTTAAACAAAATCATGGTATGCGCAGAGAAGTTAAAGACGGCAGGCAGCTGATTAAAACTGTCACGATGAGTAATATTCAAACCAGTGTGAGAAGACCTAGTTGGAGTTTAATGTCTAATGCTGTAAGCACTTGGCCATCCTGGGTGCACATCAGACTGAAGATGAACCTTGGGATCCCAGGCACACCTTGGGAAGCACAGTATCAGGGCCCGGGCAGCAAGAGCTGCTCTGGGGCCAATGACTGACAATGTTGTATGTTAGTGTTCTTGTGTGAATAACTGTTGACATGTTGCTTATATCCTGTCTGATCACCTGGAATCTAGAAGTTTCTTTGCTCCCTTCCACCATTTCTAATTCCTTGGAATTTAATACTTTGAAGCTTCCTTTAGACTACAGATCTCTAAGAAATGCCATTTTCCTTACTTAGGCTGTTGCTATCTGCAAAGAAAGAAAAATACAGCTATATGCCCGCCAAATGGGAGAATGGTTAGAGAAACTGTGATATATCTTTACAATGAAATGTCATTTGATAGAGAGAATGATGCAATTCTATATGTGCTGATATGCAAAGATCTCCAAGGTGTTTTGTTAAATGAAAAAAGTAGATGGCAAGACAACACATAGACCAAAATATCATGTCTAGGATAAACTCTGCAGTGCTTGTAGAACATGTCCATAGACTCTGTGACATAATCCGTTCAACCTCAATCCCCTCATGTGTGGGTTAGATTTAATGACTTGTTCCTAAGGAACAGAGTAAAGCAGAAATAGTGCTATCAACCTCAGAGACCAAGTCATAAAAGGTACTGTGGCCTCCTCCTCACTCACTCTCTCTTCCATTGCTCCCTCTGGAGGAAGATAGCTCCCATGCCATAAGGACATTTCAGCAGCCTGTGTAGATACCCATGTAACAAGAAACTGAAGCCCCCTGACAACAGTCATATGAGTGAGCCATCTCAGAAGGAGTTTCCACACATCCAGTCAAGGCTTCAGATGATTGCAGCACCTGCCAACATCCACACGTACAAGAGAACCTGAGTTATAACCACCCAATGAAATGCTCCTGAATTCTTGACCCACAGGAGCTGTGAGGTCATAAATGTTTGCTGTTGAAAGCCATTAAGTTTTGGTATAATTTGAGATGCAATAATGTATAACTAATATGACCTCCTTATATTTGCATGCATAATAAGATTCAAGTTCTTACTCTGGTTAGTCACTGTTTTAAAAATACCAACATTTAATTCTCACAGCAATCCTAAAAACTAAAGACCAATATTATCTTTATTTGACATAGAAAGAAACTAAGGCACTGAGAAGCAAAATAATTACTCCAAAAAGGTAAAGCTATTTGAACCCAGGCAATTTAGAGTGATCACTTGTAACCTATTATGCTATACTATACTCTTATACTATGTAGGTCTTCACAATGAAGTCAGTAGGTTCTTGGAAACGTTAGGAGACATGATGTATAAGGAAATGAGTTTTGTCATAGCCTAATTGATATAAACAAGAGTTAAGTTTCTACAGCATATTTCTGATCACAAAACACATCACCAAATTTCTAAATAAAGACCCAATTCATTCTAATATTAAACATTGAAGTAAATGTGAGCTACACATACATTTAAGAGGCATCAATAAAAACAAGATAATTATTTTCCAACCTGCTTATTCCAGTTCAGGGTCCCAATGGCTGCAGCCTGCACGGGCAGCCCAAGGTGCAAGGTGGGACCCACCGTGAACAGAACACCCTTCCTTCCAGGGCCTCTCACACACATACCACACTCAGTCAGATTGGGACAATGTAGACATGCCAATTCATCTCACATGCACATCCCTGGGATGTGGGAGGGGACCAGAGTCCCAGAGAAAACCCATGCAGACGTGGGAGGATGTGCAAACTCCACACAGACCAGGGCCCTGGCTGCAATTTTTTTTCTCATCAGTGTTATAATGAAATGATGTTTGAGGACCAGCTGAATGTACTATTCTTCTATACTGTACTGGACTATACTATACTATATTGTGTGTGTTGCAGGTATGGTGCTGCATTATGTGGTGTGTGCACAGAGAAAGTATGGAAGACATGTATCAAATTGTTGGTCACAATTACGTCTGGATACAGAGGTAGAATTGGAGAGAGGTAAGGGAAAAATGAAATTTTTATTTTTTTCTCAATCTATTTCTGTATTGTTTGAAGGTTTTTACCAAAAAAATGATTAATGTAATACCTGTGTAATTAAAATTTTAACTGAGCTGGCTAGTGGATGTATGCTATCGGAAGAAATGAAGTATTAGGGAAAGAATGGGCGTATCTGATGGCATACAAGTCATCCGCCATGGACTTGCTTAGGTGTGAATTAGATTGGCACCCTCTGCGGGTTCGCAGGTGTCAGGGGGGCGCTCTCAGCCCCCTTCCCCTTTCCACTCCTCCAGCCCAGAGCTTCCTCCTTTTCCCATAGTCCAGGAGGCAGGTAGGAGGCACACCCACTCTGACACAAAGAATTCTCTCAAGACAGGCCCAGGAGTCCCGCCACCTCCTCCATGGCTTCCCACGGGCTCTTTAGTATGTGATACATGGTATCCTATCAGGAGACCACAAGTAGGATAGGTGGCCAGGACCAGGGCATCTATTTTCAGTCTGGGCCTGAGCCCGCTTCAGGAATAGACTCTAAGAGCACAGTGGTTGGGGTTTCTTCCCCTTGTGACTGGGAAGAATCACGTGGCCAGTGTGCTCCTGACACTGCCCTTGTCACTGTGAGGAAGATATATTTAGCATCTGGCCCGAGATAGAGCTGTCACTGGAGTTTCACTCACTTGGCAACCTAACCCTACACTGGCTATATTTATAAGTTCAGTTTGTGGCGTGATGATAAGAGTTATCTTTCTTATGCAAGACGGTATCAGATGGGCCTGCCCCAGTGGCCTGCTGCATTCTGGGCACAAGGTGATGGGTGGCCTTGAGCTTCTGATATGTGAGCAGCCACACCACTGCCCGCCCCGCTCCCCGAGGGCTGCAGTGTGGTAGGAGGTTCACCCAGCATGTAGGAACAGGGCTATCACGTGTGAGTGCCTGCCATCTTATGAAGAAGTCCAAGAAGATTTTTTCCTCACTTCTAAAAGAAAAGAAATCAGGGCTCACCAACAAATTCTTGCCTCAAGAGTCTCCATTTCTTGAGCAACAACCACAATGATATCATTTATCTTTCCCACTAAGCCCTCAAAATTACCCATGGGAGACTATCTCTAGAAGCCTCTACCAACCCCTAATAGTTGCTCCCTCAGATGAAAATTATGAGCCATCCTTGGGCTGGAGGGACTAAGAAAGACATTAAAGGAGACTATTAGGAAAGGCGGTGAAATGGTGCCAGTTTCAGAGGCTGGTGCTGAGGTGAGGACACCTGGGTGGATCACAATGGCAGGGAGGAATCAATGAGGGCTGAGGGCTGAGGGCTGAGATATGGACATTAATAAGAGCTGGTGGAGACAATGGGTTCAAGGTAGAATTAGAAGGACGGTGTTTTTTATTGGTTTTTTTTTTTTATCATGTGACCCTGGGTAAATCTCTTTGCTACTCTGTACCTCAAATGCCCTACCTGCAAAGCAAGTGAACTGGACCAGAAGCCTTTATGACCACTTCTAGCTCTGACATCCCATAATACATAATATTTATTATAGCACAGAATTCCGTGACTGCCAACTGTTGCACCCTTTACTTTCTCTTCAGGGTCATGTGGGAGAGACTTCCCAAAATATTTTCTCCCTTTTTCATTAGTAAAAGAACTTCAGTTTTTAGCCAAGCAATACCATTCAGTTAAAAGACTGCATTTGCAGGTCCCCAGAAATATAACTATGCTCTATCCACTGAGATATAAGTGGAAGACTCATGTGGAACTTTGGGAAACTCAGCTTTAAAAGGAAGGGGCTGACAGGATAGATAACACAATCTCTGTCTTCGAGTTGCTTCAACTTCACTTTGAGAGAAATAAAATGCTGGAACAATTAACACATGCATGATGAAGACATACATTATAGATGCCTTTATATTTTACCAGTTGTTCTAGATGTTTCATTCAATCCTCTGGGAGGAAGAAGGTAATTGGAAAATCTTTAACTTATTCATTCAACAGATATTAAGTTCCCATTATATTCCAGATTCTGTCAAATTAATCAGAAACACAATTTGACCTCAAGGTGCTCCCAACTCAACAAACACACAATATTGATCTCATATTTAAAAGTCATATTTAATAGTAAAATTCTGAGTTTTTTTTTTTAGCTTCTATTGAATAATTGAAGAGTTAGTAACATGGAACTTGTATTCCTACCTGGAAACAATTTGCTGGAGGTGAATAACAAGGCCTCTTTTCAAGGAGGTTGTGTTCTTCAGTTTATGACAATTGTCATTTTTCTTACACCATACTAGAAGCTGGAATGCAAAAGATGTCATATGTTCTCATCATCATCAGAAACACACATTTATTGAACACTACAACATCAGAACAGCAAATATGAAATATAGTAGGCTCTACTACTTCAAGTGTCTATCTTGGTATTTGAGAAAAGAGAGAAAGAAAAAAGGGGAGAAGGGATGAGAAAGAGTAGCACCAAGAACAATAAAATTCTACTTCATCCTGCTTCTCTGTTTGGCTGTCAGGACATAGATGTGATGACGGATCTCTAGCATCCATCTAGGACATGAGAGTGTAAGCTACACCCTGGAAATGATGGACCAGAGACGTGGAAGGAATGTGAGTCTCTGATGACTTCTTGAAACTGCCACAACCAGTGTTATGAGAAAGAATAAAACCTTGGGGGTGAAAACTATTACTTTGCATTTCCTGTCTCATGAAGCCAACCTTGATCTTACTTTTTCCAACATTTGAGTTCAAATCCCAGGCCTGCCAGTGAGCCCCCAGTTTTATGTAGGAGCACAGTCTACCAGCTATTCAGTAGACAATCTCAAACACTTTTTTATATCCTCATTACCTGGAGTGATCCCAAACACCGAATTGGAAATCTGATCCTACCTGGTCATGTGTATCAATAAGGAGGCTTTGAGTGACAGGTAACAGAAAATCTAAGTAAACAATTATGACACTTTGTTATCTCACTTGCCAAGAAGTTCAGAGGTAGAGCAGTGTCAGGGTTGGTTAATCCAGTAGCTCAGAAACACCATCACAAGTTTAGGCTCTTTACATCATTCCACTTTGCCATCCATAATGAGCTGTCATTGGTCCTCCACATAATCCCTTTTGGTTTCAACTACTCCAAGCATCTTGTCCTCATCCAGAAACTCCAAATCCATGGAGGCTAATATTGTAGTCTTTACTTTCATTACTTAAAGATGGAAGAAAACTTTTCCAAAAGCTCCTGTGAACAGGCTTCCCTTCATGTTTAATTGGTTAGAGTGGTAACAGATTTCACATACTTATCCCCAAACTGCTCACTGACAAAGAAGGTAGAATTATTATGATTGGCTTAAACTAATCAAGATTCAGTCTCTGGGAACAGAAAAGGGTAGGTTATATCTTCCCTGAAACCATCGCTGCCCAATATCCAATAACTGTGAGGTCCTACTAGGAAGGGATGAGGAGCAGGAAATGGCTATTGGGTAAGTAATGAAAAATTTCACCAAATCATGTAACCTTGAGTTATTCATTTTTCTTCTCCTGCATTTCCTTATCTGTAAAATGGGAAGCATGGACTAAAAGACTTCTGAGGTCCCCCAAATTATCTTCCAAATTGATTATGAGCATCCAGGGCTAGTGGCAGAAGATGCTGGCATTTAGGGATCACAGCATCATCGATAATAGCCTAAGAAGGTCTAGAAAGAAGGTGCTAAGACCATTGATCAAACCATTGGCCTTTCCAAGGGGATACTGATGCCCATCACTGATTCCCATTCATTTATTTGCCAGAATGTATAGGAATGGATCTCCTATACACTCTAAGCTCTTCATTGGTCCCCTGCTCTGCTCTCGCAGGGGATAAAATGAGAAAGGATTTAGGGGTAAAGGGCAAGGGATGGATGGAGGAAGAGCTGTAAAATCTAGGTTTCAGATTTTCCTCTGCCAGTAAGTTAAATTCTATTTCACAACTCACCTCTCCCAGGAAGCTTATGAGAATGCCTCCAGACTTTCTGTTAAACCTGGAACCTGTGTGCCTATGAAGTCTGACAAAAGAATGCGAAGTCACAAAACAAATAGGATGAATCTTTCTGAAATATCAGTTAACATCAAGATTAGGGAAAAGCGTGGGGTAAGTTATGAATCTGGTCAATGGTTTAAAACACTAATTTAGGTTGAATTAACCATGGGCATATTTGAAAGTAAGGATAGTGTGGATTTTTTGAAAGAAATAAGGTTCCTAACAAATGTCAAATTTTGATCTATGGCCCACAGATCACTTAGAGAGTGACAGATGTTCATCCTCCTCAATCACTTCTGAGAACTAATTCATTCAAACCTCTGGGTCTGCCACTTACAAGCTTGATAGCTCAGTGTAGTTGGGCAAAGTCTTTAACATCTGGAAGCCTGTTTTCTCTTCTGTTGAAGTAAATACCACTGTTAAATGGAGGTTTTGGCTATACTTACTTCACTAAATGAGTGTAAGGACCAGAAGTGATAATGCCTGGAAGTGCCTAGAATGAAGTCTCAATAAACATTAGTTTTTATTAAGTAATATGTGATTTCTAGTAAAAAAAAAAAATGACAAACAACTAATATGTGTTAAAGCACCTCCTATGTGCCAAGCACTGTGATAAACATTAGGGAAATAAAGGTAAGAAGGGAGCATCTTGCAACCAAGTGCTACTTTGTGCCAGGCGCTGGGCAAGGAGAATGGAGCCAGGTGCTTTCACATACACTTTTCATTTAATCAAGGACAAACAAAATGTAATCCCATCTTTTAGGTGCAAGGCGGAGGGCTGAGAGCACAGAATGTCTGGTGGATGGAATTCTACTTCATTGGATCATCATGATTATGTCAATGATTTGTGCTGCTCCAGGTATCTCTTCTTAAACTCCATTTCCTTTCATTTATAGCAAGGCCCCCTGTGAATTCTTGGTAGATATGTGTTAGAATCAATTATAAAAAGCAAGGGACCAGAGACAAAGTGGACAAGTGCCAGTCACCAAAACCCTGCCACCTCTAATTTGCTTTGGCCATCTCTTCCAGCCTCCTACATCACTGGGTCATTTTGTGCATTTTCTATCACTTTTGCACTGAGACCGTGTGCCACAGCTAGAGTTCTGTCCGGGTCCTTTACCAGCTGAGTAACCTTGGGCAAGCCACTTGACCTTTCCAACATTCACTTTTTTTCATTCATAAACTAGAAATAAAAATAGTTCCTTCCTTGTAGGATTGAGTGGTTGTTTCCTTATGTGTTAAGCAGGATGAAGTAAGTTCCAACTTTATGCAACTGATTAAGGTAATACACCTAAACCCTTAGCACACTCCCTGGGATGTAAAGAGTATAACGTCAAATAAATAGTGGCTGTTATAATTATGATTAGCTTCTTACCGCCCTCTTTTACCAGAGCTAGCACTCTGGCTTATTCTGCTCCTTGGTATGAGTCATCTGCTGTCATCTCCCCTGGGATAAGTATGACAAACCAGGGGAAAGTCAGTGAAACACAGAAGCAAGCAGGTCCTTAGCTGGAGTAATCCATCCTTAGGGATGATCACAGAACTACCCCTGATTGTGCTGGACCCTTTACATGTCTCTTCAGGGTTATCCCTGACATTGGTCTATAAGCAAGATGTTCAGCCCACTACCTCAAGGAGACTCTTCATGAGCCACTTATTCTTCCTCCAGAATCTAAAGGGGCAAATGTCTCCTCTTCCATTAATAGCTCTGATCCCTGTGTTGTGTTTCCCTGGCTAGCTAAGACCAACAGGATGACATCATTCGGTATAATCATTTCTTACCCACATGTCAGCCCATTTTAATTTTTTTCAGGGTGTTTGTATGTGCATCTGTGCGTTTTCCATTTTCAGCCCAAGGAAGCAAACTGCCCTTCAGCTTATTGGGGTGCACATTGGATATTTTTGGTGCTGTAACTCTTCAGAACAAGAAATTGTCCTTCTTCCTAAATAGAATGGCAGGCCATTACCATATGTCGATTCCAGAGACCCCTAAGAATTGAGAAAGAAGCTACTAGGGAAAGAGCTCACGGCAACAGGATATCTGGCACAAGCAAATTGCCATTGGGCATCTTAATCCTCCTGGGCCTCAGGTTTCTCTTCTGCAAAATGAAGACATTGGACCCCATGATCTTATATTGGTTTCATTTACCCATTAAACACGTAACTACTAAGCTCCTGCTGTATGCCAGGCACTGGGGACACCATGATGACCGTGGCAGACCCTGCTGTCACGCAGCCTATCTTCCAGTCACAAAGAATAAACAAAGAACTAACTTCAGTTAATGAGGAGTGCCAAGAAAGAGGTAATGGACAATGACGAACTAGACAAGTGCCTTGGACGGGACAGGTGGAGCCATTTTCAATGGGGTGGCCAGACAACCAGACAAGGCCCCTAAAGAGGCCATGTTTAGGCTGCGAACTGAATGAGGAGAAGCAGCCAGCTATGGGGAAAAGGGTGCCAGGCAGTGGGCGCAGTAGAATTTTCCTTGGGGGAAAAATGCGGGTCTGTCCAAGATGCGGAAATGTTGTTTGTGCACATGCAGCGACAACACAGGCCCCAGCCCCTGAAGGGGGGCATGACCTGAACCTTGGGGAGAGCCACTGCCTGCCAGCCTCAGCCACGAAGTCTGACTCGCTGTTGAGAGCCGAGTGGCTGGAGGCAACAGAGATTAATGCGTGCTGACCTTTCTGAAAGGCAATGACAATGATAAATGAAGGAGGGTTTGGATGCTCGCCCTTGACTATAACAGGAAATAGGTGGATTGTAAACTGAGGTCCATATTTTGAAGCTTAACTTTCACCAGCTATGCAGTTTCCAGAGCTGTTTGCTCCCACAGAGCATGTCAGGCATTTGGACTGGCCTTCTGGATTTGCGGACTAAGCTATCGGCCCAAAGCTCTGAGCCGGGAGCACACAGCGGCAACTTCACAAAGCTTCGGCCTCTGCTGGGGGATGGGCCGGCCTGGTGGGCACAGCGGTGACTGAGGCAAGGCCGTGCCAGGAGTAACAAACACCTGAGCGGCAGTCCCAGCGCACCCGCAGGACTAAAGTAACCCCTCCAGCCATCACAATAGAATCTGCTGGAGCCAGGCATGGGGTGGCCTCCTTGCGTACAGGACCACATTTAACACTCACAACCCCTTGGGGAAAGTCCTGCCATTATCCCTAATACACAGATGAGGCTGCAAGAGATTTTGCAATTTACCCAAGGTCACTCAGAGGCAGAAGAGGAATTCTAACTTGGGTCAGGCTAATTTCAGGTTGCCGGTTCCATTCTCTTAAGCAATGCATCAATTACATGGGAATAGTAATTATATGTGTCCTAGCCGCATCACATACTTGTTAAGAGACTCAAACTAGATGAAAAAGTTCTTTGTAAACACTGATAAGCTATTCCCAGGTCTTCTGGTCCCAGCATAGTTCCTAACAGCATTGCTGTCTGCACAGTTTCCTGCCCACCCTTCCACCATTCACCTACTTACCAGACCCCCTCCTGTATGGAACACCCACCTGTGCCACCGCCGCGGCTACCCCTGCCCTGCTGCCTATGCTGCCGCCGGGGCGATGGTACGTGCCTGCCTTCCTCCAGAGCAGCAGCAGCCCTGCCCCAGCCTTGCCGGGACGCCCTGGCATTCAGCCAGCAGGATGGGGCGGGTGTGTGGAAAATCTGAGGAGCCGTCTGTCTTTCTTGGGAAGAAAGCCAAACTGCAGTTCGCTGGAATTCTATAAATTATGCACCCAGAGAGGATTTAGTTTAGAGAGAGAAGGGGGAGCAAATCCCTTACTATTTGCTTAGGGAGCTAGGTCAGTTGAGCTAGGGCCAAACCCCACATATTTGGCCTACCTGCTGTTTGCAAAACAGGCCCATGTTCCAGGAGATGGCTGGGAAGACCACAGAACAGCCAGCATTTCTCTGCAGGACTTTCCTCAGCCATCTTGCCATGCCCTTGACCAGCCTGGCCTATAGCTTGGTTCCTCTGGCTGTGAAGGCTGAGGGGTTCGGGGGATAGGTGGGCCACCATGTTCTCTCTCTGCACACACCTATCTTACTCCCTACCCCTTCAACCCCATGAAGCTCAACTATCAGTCAGGAGAGCTGAGCAGAGGACACCACCTCCAGGAAGTCTTCCTTGGGCTCCGAGGCTGGGTAAGCGCTCTTTCCTAAGGGCTCCCACAGCACCTAGTACTTATCACACTGTAGTACTGGCCTGGCCCCCAGCTAGTTTTCCACAGGCTCCTCGAGGGCAGAGGCCTTGTGAGTTTTGCTCACTGTGGTATACCCAGCACAGTAGTTCAGTGAAGAAATGAATAAAGACTACCTCTAGCCTCCTAAAGTTCTGGGGCTCCTCAGCTTCAAGAATTCCTGGCAGCTGAAGACAGGCGCCCTGGGTATTGTGTTGTGTTTTGCTCTATCTGTTTTTCTAGCCTCATCTCCCACTCTTCTCAGCCTTCCACTAAATGCTTCCTCAAGCGTGAAGTGCCTGCAATGACTCACCAATCTGTTTCTGCCCCTGCCTTTGTTTACCCTGACTGTTCTGCACTTCATCCCCTCACCCTCACTGCCAGTCAGCCTTCAAGAATCAGTCCCAACCTCCTTTTATCCAGGAAGTCTATCCTAGACCGCCCCACTCTACCCCGACTCCCCTTCCTCACTGATTAGAAACCCCTATCTCAGATCCCATAAAAACCTCGCCATGCTTATCACTGGGCTTACCACAGGCCTCCAGGGATTTGTTTATATAACTGTCCCCACCCCCACCCCCAGTCTCCGGACTACTTGGAAACAAAGAACCTGTCCTAATTACCTCTGTGTTCCTAGAACTGAGCACAGTGCCTGACAGTAGCAGCTGTTCTGTGCGTGCTTGTTGAATTAATTAATTAACTAACATATGCAGAAGATAATAATAGCATGCCATGTCATGGGGCAGAGCGTGATTAAGATCCCAGCAAATGCTATAAGCTCAGAGGAGGGAGCAATTTCTGCGGGCTGGAGCGGGAGGGATGCTGTGGGAGGAGAAATTGACAGGAGATAAGCAGCAAAGGCAGGATGGAGGATGGCCAGAGAGTAGCAGGGGCAGAGTGAGAGAACGTCTGGGCTTTTAAAAACGTAAATCAGATCATGGCCTGCTCCTACTTAAAACACCAGTGGCTTCTTCCTGTATGTAGGGGAAATCCAAACATCTTAACAAAGCCTGTGAGGCCCCATGGATCTAATTCAGCCCTGAATCACTGGAAAAGAGAAACTGAGTCCCAGAGGGACATTTACAAGGATGCTATGACCACAGTGCTTTTATTTAAAATACTTTTTTTCGTTTAAAAAATAAGTTTAGCAAAGCACGTATAATATTTTTACTACAAACATATTAGCCTTCCGTTTGAAACCCCTGGTACAATTTCCCAGAGCTGTTTCTTATGTGAACCAAGTAGTGAGCCTGCCTTTATATAACGCAGAGGAGATTTTTATTTTTTCCATCATGACCCATTTGAAAATTGTCCCATCTAATGCCGTAGGAACCTATTCTGGGGTTGTTTATCTTTTGAATTGCTATGGAACC